TAAATTAAATAGATATATGTCCAGTAGAAATAAGTACATGAAAAAAGTTACATAGATGGGGTTGACCAGGGGATAACACGGGATAGTACATAGTAGGCTCCAAAAATTTAACACGGTTACACGAAAACAAATAAAAATATAACACAAATTGATCAAATAAACGATCATATTAATACATAGTACATACACCTATGCCGTCTTAGAGTTAATACCTGAATCCGGATTTAACCCCTTAAATCCGGATTTAATGATTATATCCGGATTTAATGATTATATCCAGATTTAACCATGATATCCAGATTTAATCATGATATCCGGATTTAAGAGTGATATCCGGATATGTCGTCTGATTGGCCAAAAAAAAAAAAAAATTTCTTCACAACGTAATTAACTTGGATCTGTTATGCGGGTATGTTCATGAAGTTGTCAATTTTAATAGCGTTCTTGTTTGCTTAAACCAAAGCTCTTTAAGAGAACAGTAAGAGAATGGAATATTATTTATTATTAAACTAATATGTTTTGCATTATCTAACATTATTTTACTAGATCGCAAAATTATACATTTTCAGGCGGAAACATAGGAAAGTGATCAGAATTTTTTTTTAAAAATAGCATCTTATCTACTAGGTTAGGATCAAGACGAGTTCTTCTAGCTGAAATATGTGCATTAGCATCAGAAAACAACCGTTCTGATGGGACTAATGTAGCAGGAATAGATAGGTACTTGTGAGCAAGTTGGCTAAGAAGTGGATAATTAATATGTCTATTTTTCCACCATATTAACGGGTCATGATTTTTATGGACAATTGGTTCTTTCATATAGTGAGTGAATTCATCTTCAGTAACATCTTGGTCAGATATCGAACATGATCTCCATAGCTTAGCACTTAACGAATCTTGAAGATCTTCATTGGTTGTTACTTTATTTCTTTCCATTTCTTCACTATTTGAACTGGTTACCTGAGTTTATAATACTAATAATTTAGCGCGAATCTGGGCTTCAGTTTCTTTTTTTTCTTGAATAGTTGCAAATGGAAGCAACTTTAATGCTCGTAGATCTAAAATAGAAGCCTTCAAGTAATGTTATAAATTGAACCAAAAAAATGTAATCGATTAGTTGGTCAAATTTGTTTAAAAATCGATTATAGTTAATTAATTTATTAGTCAATTAATTGATTAATTGACTAATCGATCAGTTGATTAGTCAATTAATTGATTAATTGACTAATTAATTATTGGTTTATATATCAAGTGTAGCTGTTATTTAGAACAACTAGTCGATTAACCAGCTAATCGATTCAAAATACTACCTTCAAGCCTATTTCATCAGATGTGCTCCATAATTCATCAAGAGATAGAAAAATAGCAGCTCGTGCTTTTTCTAAAAGCCTAGAACAATTTGCAGGTGGTAAATATTCTACGGTATTAGAATCACTTAACTCAGGAATTACTTTTTTTTTTTTTTATTCTTTTTATGCATAACTTGATTTTTACGGCGATATATACTTCTATATGTATATTGCCATTGTTGCCAATTTCTAGCTGATAGTATGTCAGCTTCATTATCACTACTGAGGCTTGACTTATCGGTAGTATCTAACTTTTCTAAGCCATAAATAAGATCAAGCCAAGATTCTAATAATTCTCCTTTTTCACTTATTAGAGCGAACTTATTTTTTAGAATATGAATATAAGGGTATACGAGATTTAGGATAGGATAATTTGATTCACAAATATATCTCGTAATTTCTTCAAATGGTTTTAAGAGACCAACTATTTGTTCTACAAATCTTTAAAAAAAAAAATTAATAGAATAATATACAGATTCTAATATTATGCAATAGCAGGTTAGTGTGATATAGATATAGAGACAGGCAAGATAATAATATAGGTAATAATTGTATTTTTTTTTGCGCGTACTTACACTTATGTATTATTACTAATTATTTTTTATGAATTTATTACTTATTACTTATTATATAAGATATTCTAAGAAATAAAAATTACTTTGCCCGTCTCTATATAGATGATTTTATAATTCTATATTATACGGATTCATGATAATTTTATGTTATTCATTACTAGAATTATAATTAAGATTATGTCTAACATTAAAACATACTCTTTTTCTTCTGTAGTCAAACACAATTTAAGAAGCTTTTTACCTTCTGTTTGGATATAGCATCTGGCTTATTTTGTAATAATGTTACAAGCCTTAGCATTGCGGGATACAATAATAAAATTTGTTTCCAAGCTAAGTAAGTGAAATTCCAACAGGTCTTACAGTTGGTCAAAACATCAAGTGGGTTTATTATTTCATCTTTAGTATCACCTTGGTTTTCATCAAATGAATTCATTTATATTTGTATACTTTGTAGTCGCTGCATCTGCTTTGGAAGTCTAAAAAATGATTGAATGCTTTTAAGCCGCTTATGAATTGGCTTAATTTGTTTTAACCCTTCTTTTACTGTAAGTTGAAAGGTATGAGTGACGCACGATTGCCAAATAATATTAGACAAGTAATTTTCTTTTAACAAATCGATACCCTTTATCATATTAGCACCATTATCTGTTATAATTGTATCTACTTTATTTGCTAATCCCACTTATGTATTATAAGAAATAATTCTCCACTAATACTTTGACCTGTATGTGGATATGGCATATGATTACTCAAAAGTAATGCTTCCCAAAGCTTAAAATCAGATGTTAGCCATATTGCAGTTATTTCAAAATAACCGTAATTACTCTTTGCAGTCTACAAGTCTGTTGTCAAATTAACAGTACTAATATTCAATAATAGCTCTTTAAGCTTTTTAGATTCTCACGAATAAGCTTCAGAGAGATATTTTTTTAATTTATTAACACTTGGTACTTGATACTGTGGTTTGAAACCACGTAGAAGCTTATGGAAAGATGGATTTTTTAATATGTGTAATGGTTGAACGTTATATACGATAAACTCTACCACAAGCTTTGTTAATTCCCGTTGCTTTTCTGATGAAAGAGAAGGTAGGTTTAGATCCGAATTTGGTTCTTGATTAGTTATTATTATAGACTATAAAAAAATTTTTTTAAATTATTTGAAATTTTGATTATTATTTTATTATTAAATAACAATTTTACTTCATTATCATCGTCAATGTATCTTTTATAATTTCTTGAATTTATATGATATTTGGTGCGTAAATGCGTAATCAAATGCTCTGTACTTTTTCCTGATTTGCTATATGGGTATGGACTAGCCTGAATTTCATCTAATTCATCTAATTTATCTAATTCCCGAATGCAAATTTTACAATATGCAATCGTGTTATTATTTTGATCATCCTTAAAAAAAAATCAGGTAAAAGTAGCATTTGCCCTTATCTTTGGTAAGTCACTAGAAGCAACTGATGAAGTTGATAGAACAGATTGGATTGATTGGGTGTTAGTGGTGTTAGTGGTATTAGTGGTATTAGTGATATTAGTTTTAGTGGTTCATCTTTTTTTCTTA